CTCTTGCCTACTATTTGTGTTGTTTTCTGAGTGTGCTGTTAGACTTACTCCAATGCATTGCTGGTGCATGTTCTTGCATAGGTCTTCATCAATATCTCAAGGCTTTGCATATAAATTGTAGTTTGCAGTTTGCTGCATTTGTGGCCTTTTTTGCCTCTTTTAACCATGGCTGGTATCATTTGAAGTGTTTATATCTGAGTTTTAGTGTGGCCAGGAAATAATAAGTTAATTTTTTATGCATTGCTGCCCTTTTGCCTCTTTTGGCTCTAACCATGGCTGGTATCATTTGAATTGTTTATATCTGAGTTTTAGTTTGGTCAGGAAAAATTATTTTTTTATGCATTGGTGTTACTACGATCAATCTATAATTAGATGTTACTGTTCATTTTTGGTTAGGTCACAATTACATTGGATCAGAGCACTTGCTGCTGGGATTACTTCGTGAGGGTGAAGGTGTGGCAGCCCGTGTCCTTGAGAATTTAGGGGCTGACCCAAGTAACATTCGCACACAGGCAAGTATCTCTATTCTTCTCTGCTTTTAGAAAGTCGGTGTTTTCTCTTGAACTGATGGAGTGATGGAATTATTTGCTCGAGTAGGTTATTAGAATGGTGGGTGAGAGTGCGGAGGCTGTTGGTGCTGGTGTTGGAGGAGGAAGCTCAGGCAACAAGATGCCTACGTTGGAGGAGTATGGTACCAATTTAACCAAGCAAGCTGAGGAGGTAATTTTCTTTATGTTCCTTCATTTCTGGAAGTGTTGGCTTTCATTGGTAGCCTAATAGGAGTTTGCTTACTTGTTTCATTAGGGTAAACTAGATCCCGTCGTTGGAAGGCAGGCCCAAATTGAACGTGTCACCCAAATTTTGGGGCGGCGCACAAAAAATAACCCTTGCCTCATTGGAGAACCTGGTGTTGGTAAAACAGCTATTGCAGAGGGCCTTGCTCAGAGAATTGCCGATGGAGATGTTCCAGAGACAATTGAGGGGAAAAAGGTGAGCTACCTTTAACAGAATTAGCACGAACATGCATTCCAATATTATTAGGTGTATTCGTTAACTTTTTTTTCCTTTGAAATACTAAATGTTCCTTTTTTAATCATTTTAGGTTATAACCTTGGACATGGGTCTTCTTGTTGCTGGGACGAAGTACCGTGGTGAATTTGAAGAAAGGTTGAAGAAGCTGATGGAGGAAATTAAACAGAGTGATGAAATTATCCTTTTCATTGATGAGGTTCACACATTGATTGGTGCAGGAGCTGCAGAGGGAGCAATTGATGCTGCAAACATTTTGAAACCTGCTTTAGCAAGGGGTGAATTACAGGTTAGCACAGCCAAGGAACCTATGGAAATATAGTATAATGATAAATTTGACTACATCACTGCAGTCTTAAAAATGTGAATCACACATCATAATAGATATTGTTTGAGATTGTTATACGCCAGAATATCTTTGTTTCGGAGGCCTTCGCTTATCTTCCCTTTCTTTTCCTACTCTACCCTCAATATTGCAAGATAGTCTTTTGATCTGATATTTATCATAAGGGAGCTTCCCATTCATTTGTGACTTTTAAATTATACTTTCCCAAAGGATTTAAATCATAATTGAAAGGTTACTTTTACTAAAATAATGTGCACTAATTCCTGCTGTTGTGTGTACAATGTACTTGACAGTGATTATTCATGTCATGTCTTATCCTGAACTGAACTTATTCTAGGTGACATTAATGTCATCTTTATGAATATATTTATGCCTGACATGGTTACACACACACACACACACACACACAAAAATGCAAATGTTGCTTTGTTTTCCCCGGGGTGGCCTGCATGTGTGTGTGTGCCTATTCTGCTTTAATGCTGTGCCCTTGTTCTTTTCAATAAATTCTGGTGACCTTCAAATGTTGCTTTTGTTTGTACTATGTTTTACAGGAATGTGTAGTGTCTTACTGTCCATTTTAACCCTTCACATTTGCTGATGTTTTTACCATGTCATTTTAAGGCAAATTACTGATAATTTGTATAAATTGCAGTGTATTGGGGCCACTACACTAGACGAATACAGAAAGCACGTTGAGAAGGATCCAGCACTAGAAAGACGGTTCCAGCCAGTCAAGGTCCCGGAACCTACTGTGGATGAAACCATACAGATTTTGAAAGGGCTTCGTGAACGCTATGAAATACACCACAAGCTTCGTTATACTGATGAAGCTTTAGTTGCTGCAGCCCAGCTGTCATACCAATACATCAGGTATGTTTCTAAACTACATATTCTATTCTCTAGATTACAAATTCGTTACTGATTGGTGCTTAAACAGTGTATTTTTGGGAACTTGTATATGAATATATTTGTTTTGTTCCCGTACTAGCTGGCTTGTTTATGAAAAGTTTAAACAACTATGACATCTTTGATTAACAATGAAATTCACTGGTTTAGCATCTTCAAGAAGTATGCTTTCGTGCATGTTAGCTGTATTGTGATTCTAGAAACAGTCAAATACTGATCCTCAGCTCAGCTCTTTGCTGAATTATATCTTTACATATTTCAGTGATCGCTTTCTGCCTGACAAAGCAATTGACTTGGTTGATGAAGCTGGTTCCCGGGTTCGGCTTCGTCATGCACAGGTGTATACCTTTCTTATTTAGCGATTTTTCTTCTTCCATTGAGTATCCAATGCAATGACACTTCTATCTATTGCAGCTTCCTGAGGAAGCCAGAGAGATTGAGAAAGAGCTTAGACAGATTACGAAAGAAAAGAATGAAGCTGTCAGAAGCCAAGACTTTGAAAAGGTTTAGTAATATTTTGTAATATCTGCTCCCTTTTAATAGTTCGATGTAGTTGATATATAGGATCCTACATTTCTTCTCAATATTTGACATTGCTGTTACCTCTTAAGCTGATTGGATGCTGAGTTTATGAACTATTAATTAATGTACAGGCTGGGGAGCTACGTGACAGAGAAATGGATCTTAAGGCACAGATATCTACTCTTGTTGACAAAAACAAAGAGATGACCAAGGCAGAAAGTGAGGCTAGCAATGCGGGTCCTGTTGTGACAGAAGTTGACATTCAGCACATTGTCTCTGCTTGGACGGGCATCCCTGTTGAGAAAGTATCTACTGATGAATCTGACCGACTCCTCAAGATGGAGGAGACACTCCACAAACGCGTCGTTGGGCAGGATGAAGCTGTCAAAGCCATCAGTCGTGCTATCCGCCGTGCCCGTGTTGGGCTAAAAAATCCCAACCGGCCCATTGCTAGCTTCATATTTTCTGGTCCAACTGGCGTCGGGAAATCAGAACTCGCAAAGGCATTGGCTGCCTACTACTTTGGTTCTGAAGAAGCCATGATCCGGCTTGATATGAGTGAGTTCATGGAGAGACATACTGTGTCAAAGCTCATTGGTTCACCTCCTGGTTATGTTGGTTACACCGAAGGTGGACAGCTAACCGAGGCTGTACGACGCCGGCCTTATACCGTTGTACTCTTTGATGAGATAGAGAAGGCTCATCCCGATGTCTTCAACATGATGCTTCAAATTCTCGAAGATGGTAGGTTGACTGACAGTAAAGGTAGAACAGTCGATTTCAAGAACACGCTGTTGATCATGACATCAAATGTCGGAAGTAGTGTAATTGAGAAGGGGGGCCGACGTATAGGTTTTGATCTAGATTATGACGAGAAGGATAGTAGTTATAACAGAATCAAGAGCTTGGTGACAGAGGAGTTGAAACAATATTTCAGGCCAGAATTTCTAAATAGATTGGACGAGATGATTGTATTCCGGCAACTCACCAAGCTGGAGGTAAAGGAAATAGCAGATATTATGCTGAAGGAAGTATTCCAGAGACTGAAAGCCAAGGATATAGAACTTCAGGTTACAGAGAGGTTCAGAGATCGTGTAGTTGACGAAGGATACAATCCAAGTTACGGTGCAAGACCACTTAGAAGAGCGATTATGAGACTTTTGGAGGACAGCATGGCCGAGAAGATGCTTGCACACGAGATCAAAGAAGGCGATTCAGTTATTGTCGATGTTGATTCTGATGGCAATGTGATTGTTCTGAATGGTTGCAGTGGTGCTCCTCCAGAGCTATCTCCCGAGCCGATTGCAGTGTAGATTCAGTACAGTTTCAACTATGCAAATTTATTGAATGTACTATTGCTTTCTATTTGAACAGGTATATATCACCTAGCTTTAAACTTCAAAGCTACCTGATAAACTCAGGACAGCATCCACTAGACTGAATTATTTATATGCACATTGTAGTCAGAATGCTACGAAGTTAGTACGTTATTTTCAGAAACTTGATTATAAGCAGCATGTATGTTGTTGTCTGTTGCATTTATTAAATATTTACAAATAGCATTATGGCTTTTGCACGGTACCAAAAAACTGATGATTTTTGCCTGGTGGATTTCTCTCTCATTTACGGAAAAGTATGGAATCTTGGGTTACTTCTCTCTCTCTCTATCATTTTCGGACCTCATGCTTCATAAAAGAGACGTCTAGCAAGAAAAAAGTTAAGACCCGAGCGCCAGTAGTACATAACAGGATTTTCCTTCAAAGAAACAAAATTTAGCAAACAAACTGACGAACAGTATGATCTTAAACCACCAAGTACCACTTTAATTAAAAAAAAAAAAAACCTACAGGTAAATATTGGAATACAGGGAATTGGGATATCAAAGAGAAGCAAGATTGCATTCATTGTCACGAATTATTACATCTCATATTCAGTCTCACAAATTATTACAATCCACTGTGACTGGGTTCGATTCCCGTATTCAGTCTTAACTAAAGCAAATATCACAAATTTAAGGTTTAGTTGAAACATTAAGTTCATATTCGTATTGATATAAATAACCATGAACATTTATCAAAGTGCTCAGCAATTAGGATACAGACATATAAACCTCATAACCCAGAAATAATCCTGAACAAATTCGGCTTATAAATGAAACAAGCAACCCTACATCAGAGACCAAAAGAAAAACTTAAATCTATTCGTCCATCATCGAATGAGATTGTCTTTGCGTAGGGCTGACACTCCCACCTCGGCTTATTTTTAGTGCGTCAATTGCCTTCTGTATTTCCATAGTCGTAGCACTGTCCACACTACCAGACGACAGTTTCTTGTGTGCTTTCTGCAAATGAAGCTTCAATGAGCTGCTGCTCAAGCCAGCATTCTTTCCACAGATAGGACAAACCTTCATCGATGGTCTGCGTTGTTGCCACTCCATAGAAACTTTACCATGCAACTTAAGATCTAGATCCAAAAGAATCTTTGCAAATCCATCATTAGGGTGAGCTCTTCGGTGAACTCGCTTTAGCATATTCCATGCTTGCAATAAAGTATAGTTTCTGCAGTAGTAACAACTTCAGTCGTAATCTTTCAAAAATGATTAGTGAATTCATCTGAAATACAACAGTAAAGAAAGACAATCTTAAAGAGAGAGAAAAGTTTGATTCTCCTACAGTGCTAAAATCTGTCCTAATTACAAGCAAACCAGATGTTAAAATCTATTCAGTAAACCAGCAAATTGAATCTGTAAAAGCATAGGTAACTTCCTAAAGTACATCGACTACAAATCCAGCAAATGATAAAACTATTTTGACTTACTATTTTATTGGGATTCCCAAGAAACAAGTCAACAGAATCAATCATCAAAACAAGTAGCATGGTGATCAATAGCTTGCAAGTGAATTCTGTCATTGCAAATCATCCTGACTAAACACTGATATTTTAAGTTAATTTTTATTTTTGTTGTTTATCCGCTTCTCCAATAATGGTTAGCTTAAATATTGTTCAGCTATTACTAATGGATGCATCTGAAATCGAATGTGGACATTTAGAGTGCTACTTTTATCACTTCAATTTCCCATGAAAAAGATTATTAGGATTCAAGTTAGCTGCACAGGTCAAATTGAACCGAAGTCCTTCCAATGGGTGCATCATAAGTCAGATATAGATGTTTGCTATTTACTTGCAATTAAATGTTTAGTTACAGTTTATGCACTTACTTTCTTAGCATTAAGTAAGCAAGCACCACTGTTGCACTCCTACTTTTCCCTTCAAAGCAGTGAACTAGAACCTTCCCACCAACTTCTTCAACGTGATCGATGAAATCATGTGCTTCATCAAAGAGATCGTTGATGTTTGTATCTTCCTCATCACATATCTGTTCATAGAAATAACCCATGACTTCCTGAGTAGCAAAAAATAAATTTGGAGATGCACGTCCAACTGAACAAAATAAAGTTATATCTTTTAACATCTTTGAATTTCAAAGTGTTGTCAAAGAAAATCCATGCAAAATTCTGAGGAAAAAGACAATCAATCAAGTTTTTAAATTACTATGGAGACAAAGGAGAAAAATATATTAAAACCTATCTGTCAAGCATATTAGGTTAAGTGATATCTAAGCAAAACATCTTCTCAAATTTCAGGTCGAAGAGAGTCAGTTTTCTAATTTTCTTTTTACTAATTTTCTTTTATAAAAGAGAAGAAGACTGGCCAAGAAAACAGTGAAAAAAAGAGAGAGACTGAGAGAAGTGTGCAGGAAACAAGGGAGAGAAGTGCTGCATAACAAACACATACTGAAAAGTTTTTGTAATCAAATAATTCAGGAAACTGAGAATCTGACTGTCCAATTTCATTGGAACACAAGCATAAGATATGTGTAATCCCTAAATGCTGCAGAGTGTACACAGATCTTGCTGCTAGTGCCCCACCAATGAACAGGCTAGCTGAGATTGACGATGGCTTCTCTGTATTTCCTGCATCAGATATCAATCCTATCCTCTCGAGAATATGCTCAAGCCTAACCTGAAATTTTAAACAATAAAAGCATATAAATCTCACAGCACTTGTCAATGCAAAGATGAATAAAGTATCTCAAAATTAAGTCAAAATATTGAACCAAAGGATGTGATTACTACCTTCAATTCGTAAGCATCAACAACACAATTGCTATCACTACCTTCAAAGAACCCTGTATTGAAATTATTTTCATGGCACAATTTAATTGCATCATTTTTAAGCATATCATTCCATTGTTCTATTTCCCTGTTTAATTCAGCATCCACCTGAAAAAGGAAGAGAGAATAACCTATTCAATCATATGAATGTTGTTCAAGGGAAAAAAAAATTGAAGACTTGCAATAAAATATTGAAGCCACTTAAGAATTGATTCAGAATAATATTGATTCAAGGGTCAATGAGTAGGCATGAAATATGCTGAAGCTCAATCACCTCTCAGCACAATTTTATTTTTCTAAAAGCAAAATCCAACCATAAAACCCAGTTGACCGGTCATATCCTGTTTTTTAAAGTTGTGGTTTTTAGGCCAAGTGGACTGGTAGCAAAAACTGCAGGTTGAGAACAATGCTGACTCACTTGCCACGTAGACTTGGTAGCATTTTGAGAAAAACTGCAGTTTGAGAACAACTGCATTTTGATCGAACAAGCTGCCACGTAGACTTGGTAGCAAATTTATCATACGGAGTATCCCTCCACATAATCAGATTAGGAACCCCAGGGCATAGGGGTACACTTCCAATGCTCTCAACCATAGTCGGTAGAAGCACCTGTAGTAGACGATCAAAATTTCACCACAAATCATCAAAGAATTCGTGCTCTCACAGAAGTGTGTTGTCGAGGAAATAAGGATGCCAAGGTAGAGTCCCAAATCCAACGGTCATACCAGAAAAAACATGTGTTCCACTCTAAATGCCAAGCAATGTATTTCAGTCTATAGCCCAAATAGCTTTAGCCGCCTCCATGTCGGTGACATTAAGGAATAGGTGCAAGAAAGGAATGAATGTCCATGCAATATTTGCCTAATACAAACTGAGCTCATAAAGATCACTACGTATTAAACAACCACTAGAGCTTCAGAGAGAGTGTATCAACGATGTTCTGTAGCCTCCTAAAGCCCAATCCACCCTCATCAGTCAGATCGACAAAGCTCCTTCCATCTCTTCCAGTATAGTATGCGTGCTAAATCTTAAGTCTCAAAAGGAATCTAGCAAAAATGCTCTTCAATTTCTTTAGTACAACTTTAGGAGGCTGCATAACTTGAAGAAGATGAAGATGAATGGAGGGTAAAATAGATCTAAGCAATGTAATCTGTCCCCCATATGATAATGATCTGTGTCCATCCCGAATCTTGATCCTGACCTTCTTGATAAGGTTATCATATAGGAAGATCTGCTTTGCCCCTTTGAATAGCATGCCTAGATAGGTGAATAGCTATTGTTGATGTCGAAATCCACTCAAGTGCTAAAGTCTCCTAATCTGACCGATGGATGCCCTACAAGGCAGGATGAATCCACATGTCCCTATTAATTAACTGGCCAAAAATACCCTCATAGTGTTCCAAACAACTAAGCAATCTCTAAATAGATCGTTTCTGACTTTTAGCGAAAATAATCATATCAGCAAAGGACAAATGTGAAATAAGTGTGGAACCTCCATGTCTGTATCCTATAATAGGATATCAAGAACTGATGTGTACACAGATGACAGTAGTCTACAACTATGATAAATAGAGATGACGAGATGGGGTCACCCTTACGAAGTCCATTGAAGGAAAGAATCCACAAGGTCGACCATTAAGGAGTACCGAAAAGTGACACTCCGAGATGCATCGCCCGATCCGATCAATCCATATACGATCAAATCTGAAGCCCTCCAAAATAGTATATATGAATAAGATCTTGAGCCCTGTGATGCTCGGACTCCCCATTCCAGCCGGAGTACCCGTGTAGCAATGACACGATACGAGTATGGGTATAAAATATGTGACGGACGAGGCATTTTTCAACCGGACACAGTAGGGTGGAGAAAGGTCATGGCTTATTTCTTTTTTTCTTTCCCTTTTCCTCTTTCCCGTTTCTGCTTTCTATAAACCTAGCGCCACAGTCAAGAAGGTGAAGAAAGGCAACGCGAACAAAGTAACGATTAGCCACCCTGAAGAAAGATCATCCATCAATTTATACGCACATACATGTAGAAAAAAAGGAGAAAGATAAGCCACGTGAAAAATCAAGAAGCCGCCACCGGCGAAAAGAAAAAGTAGTAGTGTGCCTTTCCAAACTACTCCCGTTCTTCTTACTTAGATGACCTAGGTTAATAACATTATTAAGCTTTATTGGGCTTCTAGCTTAGTAACACTAGTGGGCTGTTATTTCTATGCATGTAGGCCTATGATTTACGACTTTGTTTTGCCCATTTATTTTTATTTAATAAAATAATTATTAAAACAATTAAAATATGTTAGAAAAAACTTTTAAACTTAATATTAACTTTTTAAAGAATATATTTATACAATAATTTGTTATTTTTGTATAAATTTCTAGTTTGTTTAAGTGATATTTTCTATCTTTTAATAATTTGCCACTTAATTATTATTTAACTTTTTATGCATAATTTCTCAGGAAAAAATTGAAATTTGAAAGACATACCCACATATCTATTTCCAAAATTTGGACTCTTTTTAGCAATTTTCACGTATCTTACATTTTTTTTAAAAAAAAAATAAAAGATTCAACGCTTAGATACGTACCCTACCCGATACCCTTACCCAAGTTCGAGCATCATTGCCTAAGCCAATAAGATATTATCTCCATCAATCCCGGAATCAACCCGCTCTACTGTGGAGAAATGATGCGCAAAAGTAAAGAACTCAACCAAGTTTTCAATAACTTTGTGATATTCTTATTGAACAAATTGCATAAGCTGACAGGGCAAACTTTTGACTATTTACATGCATCATCAGTCTTAGAGAGTAAGACAATAGCAGTAGCAGTAAAACCTCTTAGTAGATGTTCGACATCAAAAAATCCAAAATTGACCAGAACACATCATCTCAAATAATGTCCCACATATTATGTTGATAAAAGTGATGAGACACCATATAGACCCACTGCATTATTAACATCACTGCTAAAAACTGCTTCTCATACCTCATCAATCGATGGTAAATGGTAAAATTCCATGATATCTGCCCCCTTCGATAATATAAGAATACGTCGAATCTAATATGAGCCGAAGGTTGTGAAGAAGCAAATAAGAGGTCTTAGGAGAATGAGATAGCCAAGCTCTTAATATCGTCGGGAGTAGAAAGTACTTCCCTTGATTAGGTCTCAACGGACCTATACTCATACGCGTCCATAAATTATTGAATGAAAGTATCCTATGTTATGGTCTCCCTCGCACACCCAACGTAAACTATCCTTTTGTTTCCAAAACATAATAGCTGGCCACACCATGACCATGGGATGGCCCATACACCCACTGCACGAGTGGAATACTACTTAAGTAGAAACGAACAAGGTCTTACGGCACGATCACTATATGTCTATATCTTTTCTTTTTATTTCTCTCTCCTCTATGGAAAGAGGGGATGATACGTAGCGTGGTATACCTGATCGGGTTCAAAGTAGACTGTGCTTGATGTATGAGTTGCGCTCTAAATAAAACATTATCTGCCTCATCCACCTTATACTCAGCCTTCCTCACGAGCTGAAAGACATCACTAAACACATGATGGCTCCACCAACGTATACCTATTTTTAGCCTAAAGAATTTCTCATAAAGAGTAGCCATCTATGTATGATGAGTGGGGAGTGTCCACTTTCGGTATATAAAGGTTGAAAGATCATGATGCTTGACGTTGAAGAATTGGAAAGGCCTAGGTTCTGAATCGCCATCAGAAGAGCACTGAAGAAGTAAAGGTGAAGTCCAATTCAAATGTCTTATTGTGAGCTGACTACAGAACTCTATCCAACCGTGTTCAAACTCTGCCACTGCACTAAGTGTGCTGACTCCTTGAAAATCCAGCATCGATCAAACCACAGACCATGGTAGATATTTGAGTTTTCATATATGATATATGGACATTAATTGATTGTTGTTTGATCTGAAATGCAAAGTTGTGAATCAAGGGAGATCATGGCAAGCAATGACTCTATACAAATATCTTGACTGGAAGTGAGTTGACAATGCGCTATAAAAAATCCTAGCGAAAGAACGGTGTTTAAGTTTATCGATGATTTAAAGTATTATGTTCGATAAGTTGAGGGAGAGACTTTCTGAGACAAAACCTATTCGTCCATGGGAGAGTTTATTTGGCATTAAGAAGAGAAGAAACTAAATTCAGGTCATTATGACCAAAAAATTAAAATTAAATAGAGGCTCAGCACTCGAAACTGTCCTTATCATTAACCAACAATGTTCCGGTAAGAATAGTGATGGACTTTGACAGTTACAATAGATCTGGACACGAGAAATATGTGCTGGAAACTCCACGAAAAAGATTCGAGGTTCTCTCCTCTATGGAAAGAGGGGATGATACGTAGCGTGGTATACCTGATCGGGTTCAAAGTAGACTGTGCTTGATGTATGAGTTGCGCTCTAAATAAAACATTATCTGCCTCATCCACCTTATACTCAGCCTTCCTCACGAGCTGAAAGACATCACTAAACACATGATGGCTCCACCAACGTATACCTATTTTTAGCCTAAAGAATTTCTCATAAAGAGTAGCCATCTATGTATGATGAGTGGGGAGTGTCCACTTTCGGTATATAAAGGTTGAAAGATCATGATGCTTGACGTTGAAGAATTGGAAAGGCCTAGGTTCTGAATCGCCATCAGAAGAGCACTGAAGAAGTAAAGGTGAAGTCCAATTCAAATGTCTTATTGTGAGCTGACTACAGAACTCTATCCAACCGTGTTCAAACTCTGCCACTGCACTAAGTGTGCTGACTCCTTGAAAATCCAGCATCGATCAAACCACAGACCATGGTAGATATTTGAGTTTTCATATATGATATATGGACATTAATTGATTGTTGTTTGATCTGAAATGCAAAGTTGTGAATCAAGGGAGATCATGGCAAGCAATGACTCTATACAAATATCTTGACTGGAAGTGAGTTGACAATGCGCTATAAAAAATCCTAGCGAAAGAACGGTGTTTAAGTTTATCGATGATTTAAAGTATTATGTTCGATAAGTTGAGGGAGAGACTTTCTGAGACAAAACCTATTCGTCCATGGGAGAGTTTATTTGGCATTAAGAAGAGAAGAAACTAAATTCAGGTCATTATGACCAAAAAATTAAAATTAAATAGAGGCTCAGCACTCGAAACTGTCCTTATCATTAACCAACAATGTTCCAGTAAGAATAGTGATGGACTATGACAGTTGCAATAGATCTCGACACGAGAAATATGTGCTGGAAACTCCACGAAAAAGATTCGAGGCTGGAAAGAGGAAATAAACCAGCGAGCAACAATGCCTGAGAATTTCATGTTGCTGACCAGCAGAGGGTTCCGGTTATTGGATAACCTTTAACTTTTCCTGTGTGTTGAATTCTTATTTCATTCCACAAGAATTTTCATTCTATATTTTCTTATCCAGCTAAAATAAGAAAAGTAATAGCGTGTGATTAGTTTTTCAAAATAATGTGCATGGTGATATTAAAGCAAGACCTTACATAAATATCTACTGACTTTTATCTCAATAATTGTTATGATCTTGCACACAAATTGAGGGTGCCAGGTAGGTAGTGTATAGCATAGAACTAGATTACGGCGTAGGTTTAGATAGCCGTGTCTCCGGGGTTTTCGGAACAACCATAAAGCAATGACACTGTTAATTGTACTTTCCACATTTTCCTTGATTATTCATAAGTCAATTGATAGAACGGAACCATAAAGCAATGACACTGTTAATTGTACTTTCCACATTTTCCTTGATTATTCATAAGTCAATTGATAGAACAACTTAAATCCAGTCTTTTTTTCCCTTCTGTATTATTGAATATTCCCTTCATATCTGGGATCAGCCAGACTGTGTAACTCTAATAAAATTACACAGTATTATAGCGAGCTGCAGTTAGCACCCTGAATTTTACATCATTTCATTCAATTTAAACTCTCCATATATCTACATAAATAAACACATTGAGATACCACATACCGTTTAGTAATGTTTGCAATTTAAGTGACGAAATGTTCTGTTCAAACACATTTAAGATATAATGATTATCACAAACCTTCGCACATTTGTGGAAGTCACGGAGTTTTGAAGTCAATCGCAGGCTACGTAGGGGTTCACCACTGCCCTTGCTGGACTTTCCCGGCCAACTATCGCGTGACATTGGAGAACAAGAATCTGAAATTTCTTTACATCCTGAAGACGAAGGCCTAGGAGTTGTTCTATGTGATTCTGAATCATTCAAATCTGAACTGTTATCAACAATTATCCAATCCCTGCTTAGCGAAGGGCAATGCGCCTCATTAACTTTAGCCTGCAATGGAGATTCAGGAACCACTATATCATCTTTGTCAAGATCCCCACAAGATGATTTATTCATGATACTGAGAAATGCTCGTAACAGGATATCCAGTTTCTGGTGAAGAGTAAGAAGGAAGATGTGAAATCCCTGCAAGTCTCTGAGAGCTGCTCGGAAACCACTCCGAAATTCATGCACAACTGAAGTCATTTCACTTCCAGGTAAGTTGGGTATTCTATCAGAATCCTCTAGTGAGGATCCTAATTTTCCTCCAGTTATTTCATGCAGCAGTTGTGATGCATACTCTGAATTGTTTATGAGGAGCTCAACTAACCGAGGATAATTTACCTGGTCATTTGCACGCTTCCCCGCTGGTGGTCTACGAGGAACCCCAGAGTCTATCGCCACAATATGCAAATCAGAAGTTGTTGAATCAATTGAATTTTCACTCTTTAAGCTCATATTGCTAGATTTAGGAGATTCTGTAATATCAGAAAGATCAGAACTCTGTGATACCAATCCTGGATTAGGAGTGCTTAGTCTACTGTCAACTGAAGTTGCTCTTCTTTCTTTCTGAAGTGCACGAATTACTTTTGGTCTATATCTCTTGATTGCAGAATCAAAGGCCAACTCCAGTGCATCAATGTTCGAAGTGGCTACTTTTTCAGCCAACAGCAAATTTGCGGAGTTCCCACGCCACCTGAGGTGGCGACAAGGAAGCCGATCCTCATTTCTTATGACAAGGTCCAACATCAAGACCCTGCCTAGGGCCAATGCAGTCTTTTCTGCTGCTTCTCGTGAATCAAACGCATTTGAGCTTTCTAATAAAGGAGACCCATGCACATAACTGCAAATGTAAAAGTTCTTAATGTTCTGTGGGAACTAAAAGAAATAAAATAAGAAATCTTACAAGAAAATATATTACTAGAATTTACTGTCAGGAATTCATGCAATCTCCACTTACATTAATCATCCAATAATTGAAATTGCTAAAATACTTTCCAGCAAACTGAGATTTATCTTAATTTCCGCATTATAAATATCTCGTGTAGATTTTTTTTTTTTTTTTTGATAGGTAAATATCTCATGTAGATTTCTAGGTGATTATGGTAAAGTAGGTCAACATACACAAAACCAAGGAACAGCAACTAGATTAAGTCCCACAAGAGCTAAGTGTGAGTTACAGAAATTCCTATGCCATTTTCTGCATGATACAGTAATGCAATTAGCATCCAGTTTAAGTGCATTGCATGCAGATCTACTATAGAATCTTACAACAAAATTCCTTACACACTTCATCAATAAAAGGCAGCGACTGAGCTCAAGAGCTTCTAGAAGTTCTGAACATGTCGTTTCACCAATTTCATCTCCTTCTGCAATTGCTACCGCTTTTGCATTTTCTGCAGCCTCTCTGATTTGCAGCCACTCTGCACTTGTACTGTGAATTACTCTAGCCTGCAATAGTGTAAAATGTTCCGCAAAAAATTCAGACTTCCAGTTTTAGATATAGAAAGCAGTAGTTGCTGAGGCAAGAAGGTACAACTTGTGGGGTTTGGACACCTAGCCACTTCGCGAATTCATAGCCAAGTCGTTCTGACTGGGTGGCCATCCTCGAAGATGAGAACTTTATCACAGCCGCAGCTTCCTTGGGAGAAGATTCATCATTTTCAGATTGGTTGAAAAGTGCAAAGAAAACAACACCCCCGGAATTGACAGTGACCTGCACCCACGTAAAAATAAAGAAGCCATAATTAAGAACAAAAGAAGCATTAACTCTGTCTAAACATTAATAGAAATTAAAAAGAAACATGATAAAGGATCAAATAACTACTTCATACATTAGGATAAATTTACATGTGAATTGTTTGCTAGCATAAAAGATAGAAAGGCTAGAGGTGGAAGTGGATTCGTTAAGACTATCTAACATTATGATGTAATTCATCTAAGTGCTTGTTTGGTCATGTTTGAAAGCTGGTTTTCTTAAAAAGTAGATAAAAGCAGAAGCCACAATTATTGCGTGGGATCTACAATTTAATAAAATTAAAAAATGAATAAGCCACAAAAAGTAGTGGACCATTGTACTTAATGCACTTATATGAACATCCAAACATGTGCTAACTTGAGTATCAAAGGTGTAATATGGAAGACACCACACTAGCACCTAGAGTTTGCACGTTGTAAGAATTGGCCATTGGGATTTGAAGACATGTCAACATAACATGAGGACAGTAGCTTTCAAATATCTACAGTAAAGACTAAAGAACCTCATGGAAAGCAGAGTAGTGTTAACACATTCCTGAATCATCAAGGACAAGGAAACATATATGTTATAAGTAGAATGGCATGCATGTATACATGTCATCTATCTTTTGTTACACAGTATACTTAACAAACAAAAAAATTGTAAAGCATCAATTAGCAAGTGATAAAAATGTCAAATTAAGCATTCGCTTGTTTGAAAAATTAAGCACAACAAACTAAAGTTTTAGCATTACAAACCTCCAGTGGTTTATTCATCTCATCTTCAGAATGCTCAGTGCTGCTGCTGTGCTCAGTATGGTGAAGGGAAGAAAGTATGTTCCAGGAGAAGAAGCTTGATTCAATATCCAACAGTGAAGCTTTACCAAGTCTTTCCCACAAACTGATTTCTGTAGCTTGCTCAGAAGGTTGGGAACTCTTCAAGTCAAGATTTGACTTTCCTGCACTGAAGCAAAATCGTGAAGGTAAGCTGACAAAGAAAGGAAATTATTCTTATATCAATGTACAAAAACATAAGAATAAAAAGATTCCTGCTACTTGGGAATATTTAGGCAGTAGTAAGCATTAGGAACAGAGCATACAAATGTACTAAGTTACTGCAACCGATGACAATTTACAACATGCATGTCTAGGTTCATTCCTATATAAAGTGCTATAACTACATCCCCTTGCTTACAGATGAATGGCTTATTTGTACCAAAACCTAAATGAGACTCATATCATTTAACTATAACATAATGATAGATATGATTGTTTAGGAGAATCAAACAGTAATTACGGTGGTCACCCTTTTTAATAACTCCTAGAATATTCACTTCGATGAAGAATAAAACAAATAGGTTGAGTTTACAATTGTGCTTTGCAGAAAATTTCATAAATTACTTAACGTTATTCCATAAACTATTGCAATCACGAAGTCGTGGCAAAATAACATGGAAGTATCTAGTCTCCCAATACTAATACAGTTTGACGATGCTACTCCTCATCCATCTCAATCTATAGTTTCTCTAATTTTTTGTCCAATATATGGTGACCCTAACTTCTTGTCAATGCTTTAGTTGGATCCCCACAGTTTATTGCTTCCAATACAGATATCACAAGGCATACAAACCAAATGCAGCAGAAGAGCATTAGATGTACGCAAAGAGTTCATTTATTTGACTTTAATTCATCAGAAACTCTTTAATGACAAGTACTTCTAGATAATATGTGGTTTCCATCCATTATAATGTTAAATGAAACTTCAACGTGAACTGCTTCCCCCCAACCAAAAAAACAACAGCTCCACATATTGCCCATTGAGATAAAGCAGTTCTTTTCATTTGTTTTATTTATTCTTGGTTCGACTAGTCCATAACCAGTAATATTTTACTGTTGGGACCTAATTACTATTATTCTTAATTACACTAGCAGTGACCATAAATTCCAAAGAAAGAAATCGATACACTGTAAATTAAAGATTCCACTTGCTATGATTTCAAGATCTTAATATCAAAGATGCAGTCCAAAGTCTCATATTCCAAAATCCATATAGCATTTCTTGCATGATCTCTACCGCTTATTCGTCCATTTCCTTGAGGGATCCTTGTGGGCATTGCATGGACATTTCAAGAGCCATACATCACATAATTTACACAAAATGGCAAATGTATCATTAAGCAGAAACTATCACTCCTTTTAAGTGTAATGTTCGCAACTTCTTAATCTGGTATGGAATATGTGAATTATTTAGACATGAGCAAATAACACTATCCCAGCTATTAACACAATAACAATATATCCCCAAAAATTAAATTCAACATTGGATTGCACCTCAGAGCCCACATTATGATCAAATTGGGACTGCAAAATATCAACCGACCTCAGAAACATACTCTCCTTGCGGTGAGGGCGGTGTGGGAATCCTGAGGACCTGTGCTTACTGCGTTTACGGACCAGCTCCAGCCATTGCACGAACCTATAAGCAGGCCCCGACGTTATATCCCCCAACATATACAATACCTGCGTTTCTCAATCTCCTCAATACCCACATTCAAAGACAACAATTCTTATTACTCCAAAAAGAAAAATCAATTATTAAAAGGAAAAAAAACAGGGACGATCAGACAGACCCTTGAAGTGACGGTTAGGGGCAAAGGGACCTCGGTATCGTCAGAACCCAGATCAAATTCCTTCTCTTCCTCCTGCTTCTGCATATAAATATACTCTACACACAATTATCTTCCAATATCTCTTTGTGGGTACATAAATATATGAAAAATACAGCAAAAATCCAGATCTAAATGATATTTAACGCAGAAACTTTATACGCATCCGTAAATAATGCAGTAATGTGCGTGTACGATGGAAGGTGGGAGTAATCATTTGAAATGAAAAAAGTAATTTTTGAGAGAGAGAGAGCGTACTTGAAAAGTGTAGGGGTGTTCGTTTTGATCTAGGGCCATTTTTTTCTCAACTTTTTATTGAAGAATTAGATTTGAAAATAATTGGATTTTCCCGCTTTTTGTGGGTCGTTGAAAGTGGAGTGTGAGACTGAGTGGTGTTCACGATTGTCGTAGAGCGGCCGTTTCGGCGGAGCTGAGTTGATTCGGAAAGTGAAGTAAGCCGCTGGGAGTGCGAAAGGTTATTTCCATTTTAGGGGAAATACGTGAAAATAGCCGAAATAAAACACCATATTTCAAGGATGGCCTTTGACTATTCTAAATAAATGAAACTATCTAAAATACCCCAAGTATGATGATTATATTTAAATCACCATAATATGAAAAGAATACAATCAAGAGCTAAAGAATTATTATAGTATCATGACTGATAAAACTTATAAAAAACCCTAATCTAAAAGATGAACATATAAAATTAAAAGAATTATGAAAAACAAGAAAGAGATTGAATTCGAAAATAAATTTAATAAGATAGGATATTAAGAACAATTAAATGTCTCGAAAAATATTAAAATGTTTTAAGGAAAATATGATGGAAAATTTTGCTAAAAGAATAATAAGATCAATAATAATAATAGTAAAAGACATACAAGATAATATATATAAACATAAACTAGAAAAAAGGAAAAAGAGTATTTCAAAATATGATATACTTTTTAACAAAAATATAGATATAATAACAGATCTTGATATTATAAATTCTCAAACATTACTAGATTTTGAAGATTTACTTAAAACTCTATAAAATGAGAAAACCTACCATGAAGATGTTATATATTTTTAGAATGTATTCCTGATAGATTAAAAATAACAACATTAATAATAGTTAAAGAATTACCTATTGAAATAAGAGAACAAATTCTAGAAAAATTAATAATAGGAATAATAAAGGAACGGTATATTTATGAAAAAAATTATTGAAGAATTTGAAGATGAAGATATTAAACTATATTATAGTGAAAAAGTATATTTACCACCATATTATAAAGAAAAATATGGAAGAAATTGAAAGAAAACTCGTAAAGGATTGTAGTAATATGTATAAATTATACCAACAAATAGATAATATATTATTAATAACAGAAGAGAAAAAATTAACAAAGTCAGGAAAAACAAATATTAAAATTAAGACCGGAAAAATCTAAAATAAAAGCAAGATACTTTAAGAATCTAAATGAACTTCCAAATACAGAATATGCTAAATTCAGATTTAATAAAATAATAAAAGAATCTAAAGATAATGAATGTGGATTATTTTGTTTTACCCAATCAAAAATAAAACCTGAAAAATAAGAAATTCCAAAATATTAACAGACCTTCTTAATAAAGAAATGAATGAACATATGAATGAACTTAAACAACTGATAAAAATATTAATAACTGATATCCAAGATTTAAGAAATGATATAAATATATTAAAAATTGAAATTAAAGAATTGAAAGAGAACAATAAAAATAAAGATAAAAAATTTATAGAAAAGGAAATGTGGAGAATTGGGAAGAAACATATGGAACAAGAAAAATTAGTAATAGAAACAGGAAGTATGGATGATAAATTTAGAAAAAATATTTTACTTAAAATATTAGAAGAAGAAGAAAATTTCAAAAAATCACTAGAAAAATTGAAAATTGAAGAAGAAAAAGACAATAAAGATGAATGAGGAATTAGATTTATTAATAGAAAATTTTGACCAACTTAATTTAGAAAATGTAAGTGAATATCAAGTCCTAATGAACACTGTATGAGAACCTACTCCAACAGAAACCTCCAACCAACCTGATAAATTAGATCCAGATGAAAGTTATGCACTCATATATAATAAATCATATAGATAATTTTATGACAAAGTAAGAAACAAACAACCATCAAAAGAAAATAAATATAAAGATAGATTTGAATTAAATGATAATTATGATAAACCTATCAATCATGGAGGAACAAAATTAGACCTATATTGTAAAATAGACACTAAAAAACCTTATTAACTTTGGCAGATTCAATGATATTATTCTTTCTATATAATAAAGATGATACATGGAAAAATACAGAAAGAAGAATAAAATTCTTAATATCATCATTTGAAATAAATGTTAGAAACTGGTGGGAATGAATAAATAATGATACAAAATCATTAATAAAAAGAAATATATAAACAGAAATAATAAAATCAGATAAACAAGGTATAAAAACATTTAGTAGAATATATTGCATACGGCTGTCCGTGGGTCGGTTCGGTTCGATTTTGAAGAGAATCGAACCGACCCAAAATTTTCGGGTATTTAATAAATAGAATTGTCGGGTCCAAATATAAATATGGAACCGTTCGAGTTCGGTTCGATTCGGTTCGGATCCGTACCATAATTAATTTTTTTAATATTTACAGCAACACTACATAAATACAACTAATGACATTTCAATCGTAACGTTTACAAATTAACGTAGCTCAATTCAAAAGCATATGAATAACTAACCGTCTAATAAGATTAATTTTATTTCATTTGAAGGCTTTAAATTTAATGAGCTAAATAGTCATGTAGTCATGAGCAAATTAAAATGGACTAATGGGTTTTAAAAATGATTTGGGCTTTAAAATTAAAATTATGAAATAATCTGATTTATTTAATTAATTTACTAATTTGTTTAGAAAAATAAAATAATTTAATTAATTCAATAAAAAAATTATTTAATTTCGGTTTTTATTCGGTTCTTCGATTATTGGTATAGACCCGAGACTCGACCCAAACCCATCGATTCTCGATTCGAGTACCCGTTCGGGTATTTAACTTATGAAGAACTGCTCGATTCGGTTCGATCCGGTTCGGTTCAGTTCGGGACTTTTGGACACCCCTAATATTGCAGTTGAATTTTTAGGTGTAAATTTGATTAGAAATGTTGAACGAGAAACAATAAGAGAAAAAGATGATGCTAGAGTCAAGTTAATAAATTAAACAATATGTCATATGTGTAAAATTAAAGAATACACCTGTGAATTCAAAAATTACTATTATATTCAGTTTTATAGTAATGAAAATCAAGAAATATACCAAGATATGTATTATAATAAATTTTCAAGCTCATGGGAAATATACTTTAAGATAGAATTTGAAAAATTTGTTAGAGATAATATAGGAATACCCAGAACACTTAGATCAAGAATAAAATTTTTGTTTACAAGACTTACATATATATGTCAACAAAAACAATTATTGAAAAAATCAGGAAAATTAACTAGAATATGTTGTGAATATATGAAAAAATCTACACAATGGGAATATATCCCTGAAAGAAGAAGTATTAAAAGAAAGCATAATAATAGAAAATTTTAAAAATTTAGAAATTTTAGGAAAATATATATAAAATTTAGAAGAAGATACTATAAAAAATATATAATCTAAACAAAGAACAGAAAAATAGACCTTACAAAAAAATAAAAGACAATGCAAATGTTGGAATTGTGGAGAAATAAGTCATATAAATCCAGATTGTAATAAAAAGAAAGTTAAAATACTACAAAAAAAATACTTAGAAATAGAAAATGAATTAAGTGAGATATATAATATTGAACAGTATTATAATCAAGAAGTGTACATAAGTGCACCAGATTCAGAAGATAATGAGTCAGAATCTGAATAAAGAAATTGAAAAGATAGAGAATGATAATATAAAAATGCAAGAATATGAAGGAATAGAAGGATGTGGATTAAAAGTAACTTTTAAAAATAATAAATTCAAGAAATTGCAAAAATTATCTTTAGATTTAAGAAGAAAAGAAAAAATACAAAAAATCACTAGGAAAATTGAAAAATGAAGAAGAAAAAGACAATAAAGATGAATGAGGAATTAGATTTATTAATAGAAAATTTTGACCAACTTAATTTAGAAAATGTAAGTGAATATCAAGTCCTAATGAACACTGTATGAGAACCTACTCCAACAGAAACCTCCAACCAACCTGATAAATTAGATCCAGATGAAAGTTATGCACTCATATATAATAAATCATATAGATAATTTTATGACAAAGTAAGAAACAAACAACCATCAAAAGAAAATAAATATAAAGATAGATTTGAATTAAATGATAATTATGATAAACCTATCAATCATGGAGGAACAAAATTAGACCTATATTGTAAAATAGACACTAAAAAACCTTATTAACTTTGGCAGATTCAATGATATTATTCTTTCTATATAATAAAGATGATACATGGAAAAATACAGAAAGAAGAATAAAATTCTTAATATCATCATTTGAAATAAATGTTAGAAACTGGTGGGAATGAATAAATAATGATACAAAATCATTAATAAAAAGAAATATATAAACAGAAATAATAAAATCAGATAAACAAGGTATAAAAACATTTAGTAGAATATATTGCATACGGCTGTCCGTGGGTCGGTTCGGTTCGATTTTGAAGAGAATCGAACCGACCCAAAATTTTCGGGTATTTAATAAATAGAATTGTCGGGTCCAAATATAAATATGGAACCGTTCGAGTTCGGTTCGATTCGGTTCGGATCCGTACCATAATTAATTTTTTTAATATTTACAGCAACACTACATAAATACAACTAATGACATTTCAATCGTAACGTTTACAAATTAACGTAGCTCAATTCAAAAGCATATGAATAACTAACCGTCTAATAAGATTAATTTTATTTCATTTGAAGGCTTTAAATTTAATGAGCTAAATAGTCATGTAGTCATGAGCAAATTAAAATGGACTAATGGGTTTTAAAAATGATTTGGGCTTTAAAATTAAAATTATGAAATAATCTGATTTATTTAATTAATTTACTAATTTGTTTAGAAAAATAAAATAATTTAATTAATTCAATAAAAAAATTATTTAATTTCGGTTTTTATTCGGTTCTTCGATTATTGGTATAGACCCGAGACTCGACTCAAACTCATCGATTCTCGATTCGAGTACCCGTTCGGGTATTTAACTTATGAAGAACTGCTCGATTCGGTTCGATCCGGTTCGGTTCA